TTATCCGATGTGGGACTGGGAGTAAGTATCCAACAAACCTCCCCCTCCAACCAAGGACCACCACAAATCGTGACTCTTCCCCTCCAGGATAATCTGTGCCCACCATCTGTACCCGCCGCTACAAATTGAGGGACACGCGCCCAACCTCCTCTTTCGAAGTACTTTCGACAACAGGCCACCACTTGCAATGATCTTCTTTTCTATGTCTTGTTGTCCTGTTTTTACACGTCACACGAGATTTCTCACACGTTTCGCTATCCGCTGTTCACCACCGTTCCGCAACCAGCTCTGAGTACCTACCTTGATAGGACCGCGTCGTACCATCCCAACCTCCGAAATTAGTATGATATTGTCCGCTATCTGGGCCAAGGCCCTTCCACGGATTTTTTTTGGCCACCTCCCAGAAATGGCCTCATACAATGTTTGTGTGAACCATTATATTTTGGTTCCACTTCTCCTCTCTATCCGATGGTGACTCTGGAGGACGTATCCAACAAACTCCCCTCCAACAGTGGACCACACAATCGTGACCTCCCCTCCAGCGATAATGCCCACCATCTTTGTACCGACTCGCTTACAAACTTTGCGAGGACACGCGCACTACCTCCTCTTGTACGGAAGACTATCGAGAAGACAACCATGATTATACTATAATAGATCATTACGAGGATTTCACATGCTGCGCAGTTTCACACCCGCTCAGAACCAGGGGCTTCTAGGATACCACTTTGTTGCGGACCCAGGACGTACCATCCCAACCCCGACATTAGTCGATATATTAGTCCGCTTTGGGCCAAAGCCTCACGGATTTTTTTTTGGCACCTCCCAAAAGCCGCGCTAATGGGTGGGTCACATTATATTATGGTTCTTTTCCTCCTCTTTATCCGATGTGGGACTTGGGAGGTATATTGTCCCAAAAACCAAACCTCCCTCCAATCCCATAGACCCACATCAATCGACCTCCCTCCAGGGATAATCTGCCACCATCTGCTGTACCGCCGCTTACAATTTTTGCGGCGGACACGCTGCCCAACCTCTCTTCGTCGAAGGACTGTCGACACAAGGGCGAGCCACTTTGGCAGAATCTTCGTCTTGGCTCCTGTTGTTTACACCGTCACACCGAGATTTTCCACACTTACCAGTCCGCTGTTTCACACCCGTTCCGAAACCTGGGCTCTGATACCCACTTTCTAGGACCGACGTCCATCCAACCGAATTAGTATATATTTGTCCGCTTGCAAGCCCTCACGCATTTTGTTTTTGGCCATCCTCCCAAAAGGCCTCATACGAATGGAAAAGGCCTCATACTAATGGGTTGGGTTTGAACCATTATATTTTGGTTCCATTTCTCCTCTTTATCCGATGTGGGACTTGGGAGGATATCCCAACATATAGATTTGTCAATTTTAAATTCGACAAACATTTAAATCTTCAACTCCAAATTCAATAAGAATTTAAATTATTCAACTCCAAATTCGATAAGGATTTAAATTCTAGACTCCAAAATCATCAAAGATTTGATTTCTTGAAGGACAAGAAATTAAAAAAATATATGAAATTTTAATTATAAAAAATTAGAGTTTCAGGACTTGGGGCTAAAAAAACATTAATTAGCCTGTTAAATTGGAATTGCTAAGAATTTTAACTTGAAAATTCAAGTAAAAAAAAAAAATTGGCTCATTAAATTAGGCCATGAAAAAAAATTGAAATTCATGCCATAAAAAAGGGGCATGGGTTAAATTGAAAAAAAAAAATCATCTTCTTCAAATTTTCGAGATCCGTTCAAACAAGTTCATGAACAAGTCTCGAGATGACATCTGTAGACACCTAAAGTTTATTTAAGTTAATTTAATTATTAATTTAATTATTTAATTAGCCAATTAAATTATTGGTTAGTTAAATTAAATAATTTATTTCAATAACCAATCAAAATATTTAAATGGTTATTAAAATAAAATTATTGGACAAATCTTATTTATTGCATAAATAAATAATGTAGTAATCTTAATAAAAAATTGGCCAAGTGGACCAATTAAATTAAATCTTGGCAAATAAATCAAGCGTCTACATAAGTTAAGTGATGCAACAACAGCCAATGGGAGCTTGCCAAATCAAATTACATTCTTGGCAAGGGGACTTCCTTAAATCGCTTTAAATAGGATGTCTCTCTTCACATGTGGGATATACATACACACACATATAGAGAGAGACAAAAAAGAAGCCTCAAAGCTTTGTCAAACTCAAGAATACAAAGCTCTCTCTCAAGTCTAAAGAATCAAAGTCCTTTCAACTTCAATTCAAGATTAAGTTTCTCCGACCCTTGAATCGTCCAAAGTTCGTTCTACATCAATTCAACATCAAATCCTTTCGATCGTTGAATCGTATTTAAGATCAAGTCGTTTCAACCCTTGAATCGTGTCCGCGATAAGAAGAGAAGAATTAGAGGATAATCTTCTTTGTAATAGGAGGTTTCACACCAGAAGTTGTATCCACTTATTATCATAAATTCGATTATCGTATTTAAGATCAAGTCGTTTCAACCCTTGAATCGTGTCCGCGATAAGAAGAGAAGAATTAGAGGATAATCTTCTTTGTAATAGGAGGTTTCACACCAGAAGTTGTATCCACTTATTATCATAAATTCGATTGTATTTTTGTATTTTTTTTGTTTCTTAATTTTCAAGAATAAATTTTACATGTACAAGCACCTCTAGTGTAGTTACTGTGCCTTCGAGAGTAAAAGTGTCAAAACCAACGCATTTTGTGGTTCAAGGGATGCCAAGTAGATCGACAATTTCTTGTGGGGCATGGAGCAATATTTTCAAGCCATAATCATCATGGAGGATGATGGACAATTTCGCACGTACACGAAATCGTAATAAGTAATAAAGTATCGTTTCCACGAGAATTATTTATCAAGTACCGAAATTGTTTTATCCCACTATTATTTAAATGACAATAAATAAAATTTGTTTGAGAAATTAAACTAAAAGATTAAACTTAAAATAGATCAAACAAGTAGTTGTAGAGAAAATTCAATAGATAAAAGTTACTGGGGAATTTTACTTCATTTAATTCTATTCAATTTATTTCATTTTAATTGTTCAAGATAGAAGAAATAATCCTAAAATCACTAGTAAAATCTTTTTGATGTATTATAGCTATTTTAATCGAACTCAATTATCTATCTCCCAATAATGAAATCAAATACAAATTAAATTATTAAAATTTATGACTATTTGAGAAAATCTCCTATGACTCATACTCTAGTCCATCCCTTCACCATATTAGTGAAAACTCTCATAATCAGGAAGCTAATTCGAGACATCGCACTTTTCACATTGATAAGAAAACCAACTAGATTATACCTAATTGGCTACTTATAAATAATTTCGATGTTATTTACAAAAGCATGCGTATTATCGGGTAAAGAAAGATTATCCATCTTACATGACTGAATAATATTAAACTGCTTTTGCTCATATTTATGATTATAATGAATTCCTGGCATTCAAGCCTAGTGCAAGTAAGAATTAAATTTAAAAGTAAATGACTCAAAATCGGAAATTTGGCCCTAATAGAATAGGCCTCCTCAATTTTTAAGAAGAAAGAGAAAAAAAGACCCACAAGAGAGAAGTTGGCAGAGATGCATCTAAATTAGATTTTTTTTTTTTTTCTTTCAATAAAATTATGTCGTTTGCAAGTTTAATGGATTTAGGTTAAGTTAATGAAAAAATTAATAATTGGACCTAATAAAATTATAATGTAACGACTGCATAGTATAATTTTGAAAACTAGAATTCTTACTAATATTTCTGAACAAAACCTAGCGACTATATAATAATTTTTTCCAGTTGAAATTAGATTCAAATCCGACGGGTGGCAAAAGTCAACCGGAACAAGGAAGGAGGAACCCATGATTAGCCCAGGGTGGAACTTGTGGTCAAAATTAGGCACACTTGGGTTGATTACAATTAATAAAGACTGGAAGTCAACCATCCAGTCTAATTTTTTGAGTTGTTCAAATGAAATAAAAGAGAAAAATAACATATAAACTATCAAATGACGAAATGATTATCATTTTCTTTTAAGTTATTTAGATTTTACAAATTTTGAAAATATTTATCACAATTTTATTGTATATTTTTCAATCAAATTTTGAATCTTTAAAATTAATATTTTATGAAATAATTCTTTCACAATTAATATAAAATAAAGATTTTTATTTTATTTTCACATTATTCAATAAAACAAATAAAATTCAAGTGTAAAATATAAATATAATTTTATAACATAATCAGACATTAGAATTTCAAAGATACAAATCTTCACATACTGTCTCTCTTAAAAGATATAATTTTATTTATTTTAGTTCATGATGCATTCTGTGCAGGACTAAATAATAAAGAAAGAGAGCAAATGAAGCATCTTCGTCAAAATTAGTTTAATAGAAGGGTAATACTGCATGGTTGGGTTGGCAACTTGGCATCTACATATCAGTTTTTTGAATTTGAAGAATGTTATGAATGAGATGTTAACGTTGACATCAACATTTTAATTTGTTTATTTTATTTATCATATCTGAATTTTAATCATAAGCATAACGTATTACTCATGATGGAGAAATTTTATTCAATTCTCTTAGTTCCATTTGTTTTCTCCATTTCTATAAAAATATTTTTCAAATTTTCTGATGTTTAATATTTCGACATGTACAAAATTAATCAATGAAAAATAGTTTTATAATCAAATAACTTTCCTTTTTTAAAGAGATTTTTTTTTTTGAATATTGATAAATTTATTGTAATAAAAAAATTAATAAGCATATATTTATTAAATTATTGGCTACTGGTAGTCACTATTCTTAATGTATAAAAATTTTCCTAGACTATGACCTCACCCATGAATGAAATCGTAAAAAGTTATTCTGGCTTTATCTGTTTTTTCTTAATAGATTGTCAGAGATACCATCGTTTCAATCGCTAAACTATAATCAGATATCAATTGAATCAGTTATATGAATCTTTTATTTCCATTCCGTTCATAACTAAAGGTTCATGATTATTACAATATTAGCATTTATTTCTAAATCTATTGTCTCTGTAAACTTGGTCATAAAGTGTTGTTCGAGTTAATCTACTCCAAACTTCATTGTGAACATGTATTTGGCTTTCTTTGGTACAAGTACTGGCACTGTGCAGACTAACTCAGCTAGCTGGGGGTGCAAGAGGCGTTGGCTCCGGCGCAACCTGAGCTCCCAAATGGCCACAAGCAATTTGGCTTTGTTTCTGATCAAATCCCCAGTACTTTGCAGTTTTTACATCATCCTCCGCCATCATCCGAGAGAACTCATGGTGGTCGTAGTTCATTGTTGCCTTCCCCCCAAATTCACTCGGAAGGTTGTCAATATCAAACAGAGACCTCATGAACTCTACACTATCTTTATTTTTTGGATAAACAAATTTCACCTTCTGGAATGTTTTTGGATCTAGGAAGTACTTAATGACCTATAAAAATATAATTAATATAATTCAATCATACAAGAGTTAGATAAGCTAAATAAGTTAAATAAGCTAAATGAGCTTTCCATTTACAAGCTCGAGATAAAATTATTCAAGTTCGAGACATAAATTAAGCATTATTCCATTAGACCAAGTTACGTGTGTATTGCAAGTGAAGAAAAATTCTCACATGTTAGCACCAGTATGTAACAACTACTATGTGAATTGCTAAACAGTAGTGAGAATTCAGTTATCTTATATACCAAAATGGATGCGGAGCAAGAAAAGAACAAACCTTCCAAAAAGCCTCGAAAATTCTTGGAGGATTATATAGGAATGCAATAGCAAGCCTCTCAGGGTAGTGATTTTGCAAAATGTTAATGATTTCACGAGCTGTTCTAACAGAGACACTGTTGCTCAAGGACAATCCAGTGAAGTCTATTAACCAAGACATTTGTTCTTGACCCTCAGACAGATTAAGGATACTATTTTCAATCAGATAGACCAAATGGCGGATATTATCTTCTGCACATGTTGTATTCTGCAAATTGTAAAAGAAAAAAGCTATCAATTTAAATATACTTAATCTTTTATAAATAGGAACAAAAGAAAAGAAAAAAAAAAGTGGAAACCTGCTTCCCTGGCCTCATTATAAGCACAGTCCTCCCATGTCGATCATGAAAATTTGCTCTGAAAACTTTACCTGTCTCACCTTCATGTGATATTTCATGCTGCATGGAAGACATATCTATATAGTAAGGTGAAGGATTAATGGATCAAGTGGAACGAAAGGATCACAAACAAATAGACCATTCATAGCAGGTGCCACATGCCGACCATTATAGAATAGCATAATAGAGGATAGTATGCGAGAAATGATGCATTTGGCATACCCAGCGGATTTCTTCGGGCTTATAAGTTGCCCGCCACTTGAGCGTCTCTTCCAACATCTTATGTGCCTTGTCAACATTCCAATTTCGAGCTTCCAGATATCTTCTCATGCATGCATCAGTACAGTATGTCAAACTACGTCCAGACAAAGGTCCAAGAGCTGCTTTGAGTTCACTGACCTGCTTGTATGAAAAAGTAAAATCAGTTTCCATTTTGAATTCTTCTAACCTTGTCATGTACAACTGAAATTGAAACATAATGTCACATTGCACTGCTTTCAGTTCCTTGACTCTTATAACGTTGAAGCCAACTTGAAATGTAATATTTCTGGCAGAGCCAGAAATTCATTTGAGTTTGGGTCATTCATTCTATAAATCATTTCTGAGATTAAAATTGTAATTTGAAAATAGCAAATAAAATATTACTTCTAAATTATAAAAAAATAATATGATTTTTTTGAAAGGTAAAATAAAATATATGATTAAGAAGATATGTATAAAGAACTATATTTTACGCTCGGTAATGACAATCAAAATAAGGGATCCAAATTTGAGAGACCATTGAACCGGTGGGTTGGTGGATAGCACAAAAAATTCTTCTCAATTTATTAAATAAATGGGTGGAAATTTTCTTTTTGACTTTGCTCTCCTTAATTTTAAAAGTTTCTTTTCAGCCCCACTTACCCTAAATCGTGGACTTGCCACAGTATTGAACAAAAGTGAACCTAAAAATAAATAAATAACAGATTAATTTAATTTTTCTTATAAAGATAGAAATTTTCAAATTATAATTATTTTTAGCAAATATAAGTCAAAGCTCAAAATAAAAACTAATTCTCACTAATATCAGCAAATAAAAACTGATAAATGTTTATATTTATTGCAGATGAAATAATTGAACCGCAATTAGGCTTGACTTTTCTATTTTGCCAAATCTTCTTCAGAAGGATTCAACAATTTATAAAATTCATCTCTTGAAACAGTCATAAAGCAAAAAAATCAACATTTAACCCAAGGTAGAATTAACTCCACAGTAGCAATCAAAAATATTATTAGACCTCAATGAGGATATAATAAATCACAAGGAATATACCTTTGCATCGTGCTGTGAAGCATCATTCTCTTGATGATTCTGGGACTGCTTCCGTCGCATAAACATACTATCAATGGAATTCAACAAATAGTAAGTAATTAAAATCAAACTTATTGACAGTTCCTTAAACTCTTGATTTTTATAAATCAAGCATCAGTTATCAGCGAGCAACGGTTGAATCAAATAACAAATAAAACAATATAAACATCAAAACTAACCAACCAATGGTTGACCAAATCTGATCAAATATCAAACACAAAATTCATAGATTAAAAGTCAACGCTAAAATAAATTATTTTAAATTCTCTGAACCTAATAATAATCTGAACCACATCAGTCCCAGGAATTACATCTGTGCATCAGAAGGACCATTAGAAATGGATCTTCTTCAAATTCATACAAAAGAAACACCCAAAATAACAAAAGAGAGCTCAATAATCATCATACAGTCAAATTTACAAATAGAATAACAAAAGGGTGATGATCGATACAAAAATAAATGTTAACCAAAAAAAAAAAAAAAAAAAAAAAAAAAAAAAAAAAAAAAACACCCAAAATAACAAAAGAGAGCTCAATAATCATCATACAGTCCAAAATTTACAAATAGGAATTAACAAAAGGGTGATGATCGATACAAAAATAAATGTTAACAAAAAAAAAAAAATAAAAAAAAAAAAAAAAAAAAAAAAAAAAAAAAACAAAACAAAAAAAAAAAAAAAAAAAAAAAAAAAAAAAAAACAAAACAACCTTATGAAGCTCAAGGTGGGAGCTTTGGGCAATAGAATTAGAAGATATGAGAATTTTTTTCTGGTAGGGGTGCGTTTAGTTTTCTATTGGGTAATTGATGATGTTCTCCTTAGGAAGAGGAATGTCATTTGTTTTTCGTGAAGTGTACCAAATGGGAAACAGAAGCAGAGAGAAAGAGAGAGAGAAAGCCAGAGAGGGAAAGACGGAAGGAAAGAGGGACTTTTGAGGTTTATGCTTTTGCCCATTTATAGTGCGAAAGTGGGAAACCAACTGACAAGACTTGGTATCTTCAGGACAGCATTTTATGCGTTTGAACTTTAAAGTGTGGAGAGTGGGGTCCATCCATACTTGCCGATTGCTCTTTTACGAGCATGTCTTTGTCTTCGCGAAATCAATCCACGATTTAGGATTTGATGAGAAGTTCAATCGTTAATTAATTTTTTGAAAGTATGTAGTAATTTGTTCAGAAATTAGATAATTAACTTTTCAAAATGATTCAATGATAAGAAAAAAAATCCTGAAGTTTTGTTATTTTTATAATTTACTGTCAATCCTCAAGTTTTTTTGACAGTAAATTTATTTTTTCGTTGCAACTGTAGCCTCAGTTATGTGTATATTACAAATTGTTGATGTTGTTACTAGTAGAATCCACGTTTGGATACTATTAGAGTACAAAAAAAAAAAAATGTCAGGACCATTTTTATGACTTTAGTCAACTCTTTTAATTTTAATTAGAATTGTTCATCAAATCGTCTAAGCATATCCAAATCCAATATTAAACTGAGGTTTTAAAAATTGATAATTTGATTGGACTTTATGAAATTTTAAAACCAAAATTTTGGTTCGATTTATAGTTTTAAAGTCAAATCCACTCAACCGAACCGAACCAAACCGTAATATATAAATTAATTCATCGGAAAGCTAGGATATAGCACTATATATTGGATCCAGAACAAAAATTCAGCTTGGGCCCATCACGTCCAGTTTTGGTCTTCAGCTTATATCTAGAGTTCTAGATGTCCAAATGAAGCAAATCGAGGCCCAATTGACTCTCAAGATCCACTTCTGTAATTGTTATGAAGGGCTTAACGCAAGATTTTGCTGTTTTGGGGATTAAAAATGACAGGAAAATTGAATCACGTGGGTTGGATGGCTTGACAGACCAGTTTCAATTTTTTAAGTCATAATTTGGGCTGTGGGTGTCCGTTTTGGGCAAATAGTAGCTTGTTGGAAAGCTGAAGAGGAAAGCTACAAGTTTGCTGAATAAGTCAGAATCAGAATGACAAGGAAAAAGACTCAAAATTGGGATCCAAATCAGAACATGATTGATTGCTTTCAATCCCCATTTGTGAATGTGGATTTTCGGTTGGGATCTCTTGGGATAGGAGAGGAGATTATTTTAGGGGAAATCATTCATGTTAGTTTTTTTTTTTCTTTTCCGCTTCATTCTATTCTATTTTGGGGATTACAAGTCATGAATATGAGTGGCTAATTTCTTATAATTCAGTTTAAGGGATTCAATTCGTATACTTGATTTATTATCTAAGTTATTTCTTAATTGAATATTTATTATTCTTGTCTTCGTTGTATTTAATTTATTGAATGATTTGCTAAGAATCCCTATTAGTTAATTGTTTGGGTGATATTATTTGCTAATTCATCTTCATAATTTGTAATTGTTATGTAAGATTGAATGATCACTAGCAAATAGGTTTTATTGATTATGTTCCAAGCTTTCAATAACAACTTATAGAAATACTAGTGTGAATTAAACAATTCATACTTGATAAATTGTTGTTTAAGATTAACCACTTCTTGTCCTTTAAGCTTTTATTAAACTGAAAATGATAACTTAATACTAATTTATTTAGTAATTAGAGTCAATTAGGTGACGGGCTAGGATTGGCAAAATAGAAAAGTTAAGGGATTTATCATGTTATTTTGACAAGTTTCACTTGAGTATTCAAAAAGAGAAAATTACATATTTCTTGTTTGTGATAAATCCATGCATTAGATTGCAAATTACCTTGAATTGAATGATTGTTTAGATTGAGTTTGCTGATAAAATATAATTGTTAATATCTGCATTTGATATCTTTAAAATTAAATACTGAAAACCAACCCCTCCCCCTTTTATCTTTAAACAATGTCACAAAATTTAATATTTTAGTCTCTAGGGTTCGAATTTGATTTACCACTTGCTACGGTTAAATCTCAATAATTAATTTCGATGGTTCGACACCCACCAATATCATTATCAATTCAGTTTGAGACTACTTCATTATATAAAAATAAAATTAATTATATAAGAAATAGCATTACAAGTAACTTGTACGACTAAGTGCAATACAAATTAACTACTTATATTTATTTTAATCTAAACAAAAATTTATGCTTTAATATTATATAGATAAAAAAATTAAAGATTACAAAAAATGAGTATATAACGAACATAGTGTTGCACGTCATAAAAAAGATTAGTCTATACTATATATAAATGTGGAAATAGGGGAAATAATAAGATTTTCGAGATCGCCCTTAATGAAATTATGAATATCCTAATATAGCCTTAATCATAGCCAATTCGTAAACTTACATTTTATACAAACGAGTATTTGGATTAATGGTTTGACACTCCTCTCCCTTAGGTGAGGCCGTGGGTTCAATCATTATGGATGAAACAATTATTCGCTGAGAGCACTTTATCCCTTCTTGGGCCGACCTTGTGCGAGTAGGTTTTAGTAGTTTTAGCCTAGTGGGCTCTGGATCGGGAAACCTATGGTTAAAACAAAAAAAAAAAAAAAAAAAAAAAACCGACCTTGTGCGAGTAAGGTTTAGGTAGTTTTAAGGCCTAGTGGGCTCTGGATCGGGGAAAACCTATGGTTTAAAAACAAAAAAAAAAAAAAAAAAAAAAAAAAAAAAAGACAAATTACATTTTATTATTTGATTGAATATAATTTCTAGAAATTATTTTTTACATAAATAAATGTATATAATAAAACAGAAAAAAATATACTCTTCTTTTTTTGTTTTTTGTATGGTTGTAGAAAAATTGTGAGTTTATTTGGAGAGGATATAACATTTCTTTTATGTAATTTTTTCTATTACTTAATTTACTTATTTGTTTATTTCAAATTTGCAACTTAGAACAATAGAGAAACAAAATACTTGAATAAACTCATTAACTGATCAATATTGGATCCTAGCATGATTTGATTTGTTATTTGTAATTTTCTTTATTGACTTGGTTTTTCTTTTTTTTGTCCATCAAAATCAAAATTTAATTAAATTATAACATTTCTTAGAGCAAATTTAATTAAATTATAACATTTCTAGAGTTATTTTTGAAATTCAAATCGGTAATTTTTTTAATATAATTTATTTCTTATTATATGTTGAGTTCTTAAAAGAATTTTATTCTTAATAATATTTATTATTTTTTATTTTCTTTTTCGTTATTGAATTAATTTATTACTACTATCACTTTAATTTAGTAAGAGATTTATATCTCCCTTGTAATAAATAGATGGCTGCCTAATTAAGCATTTTTAATTTTTTTGATATTTTTTCTTTTATATTCTAAATATGTTTGATTTGAAAAAAAATAATGTTTATGAAATTTAAAAAAATTGGAACTATATATTTTTATTTTTGGCCATTTTTGAGGTTTCAAGAGCTTGTGTGTATATTCATATATTGCTTTCTCTAATGCACTAGGTAAATAATACTATCACTACAACCAAAATGATTATCATTATTAATTCAGATCATCTTCTCATTTCTTTTCTTTTACCTACCAATAAAAAAAATTATAATTATTTTTCATTATAGCTGTATTTAGATATTGATTTGGGATTGAGGTCAAGAGTTGGAGATTGATTGATAACTTGATTTTCTTTTTGAGCACCTATCAAGATTTCAAGAATCTGTATTTATAAATTAGGGACTGAAAGATTAAGAATAAGGATTGAAGTGAACTTTATTTTGAGACGTTTTCATTATATAAAAATAGAATCAAGTGCATAAGAAATAATACTGCAAGTAGCTTATACGGCGAAATCTAATACAAATTAACCAAGTATTTATTTTAATTTAAACAAAAACTTATGATTTAATATTATATAGATAAAAAAACTAAAAGAGTATAAAAAAAGGAAAATATTACAAGCACTCTCAACGTGCAACGCATATCATAAAAAGGACTAGTACTATCTCAATGTAAGTAGAAGAAGGAATAATGAGATTTAAATAACGCCCTCGATAAAATTTGAATATCCTAAAATAATCTTAGTCATAATCAATTAGAAATTATTTTTTATTAATTGATTGGATATAATTTATTAAAATTATTTTTTAAATAAATACATATAGATAAGGATTTCAAAATTTTTTAAGTTTATCTTTTTGAAATTTATTTTTTAATAAATATACATGATAATGAGATATTTCAAAATTTTTATATTTTATTATTCAAATTTATTTTTTAAACATCTGATTGTGTTTTTATTATAATTTAAAATAGGTTATTTAGAAGAGAGATAAAGAAGAAACAAGTATACTTTTATATAATATCTTTTTTCTTTTATGTTTGTATAATTTGATTGCATATATTTTTTAAAAAATAAATTTTCAAATAGAATATGCATAATTAAGTCTTTCAAAGTTTTTAAATTTTTAATTTTTAAAATTTATTTCTAAATAAAATGAATATGTGTGTAGGAAGACGAAGAATTGAAAATTTTAATTTTGAAAAAATATATAATATTTTATTATATATATATTGAAACCTATTTATTAGGTGATATTATAGAATTATACATATACAATTATAATGAATTTTAAGATAAATGATCATATAAATTGAACTGAAGTGTGTATATATACAAATTATAATGAATTTTAAGATAAATGATCATATAAATTGAACTGAAGTGTGTATATATACACAATGCTATTTAATTAATCAACCGCTATACTCACATTAATTTTATATGAAATTTTGTTTTAGCATTATGAAATGTAAATAATATAAGACAAAAATTATAATCAATATTTAATATTAAAAAATAAAAATGAGTATAAATAACAAGTAAAAGCGAGTAATGACATAAAAAATTGAACGAGTATAATCAATGTGTAATATACGTCATAAAAAGACTAGTTTAATTAACTATATTAAACTATATATATAAAAATAGACTATATGTAAATATAGGATTAGGGAGAATAATTACTTTTCAAATGAGTTTAGTGAATTTAAAATTATCATAAAATAACTTGAGTTATGGTCAATTAAATACATTTCACTTAAAAATATTATATAATTTTTTTCCAATTTGATTGGATGTATTGTATTCAAACTATGTTCTAACTAAATACATTATTAGGTGAAATGTACACAAATACGTACAATAAACATGTTTATCTTGTAGATTAGAGTGGATTTTAAATAAGTAATAATTATAAATTGAAATAAAGTGTAAGTATATATGTAACTGTTTTATTAATTAGTTATTGTATTCATGTTAATGTTAACATGACATTATGTTTAGCATTTCAAAAATTTAGAGAATGATAAAAAACTATAATTAATATTTAATATTATAAAAAATAAAAAATAATATAAATAACAAATAAACAATACAGGCCATGCAAAAAAATAAATTTCTAAAAACAGGTTGAGAATCTGGAGATATTTCACTTGAACCGGATATCTGACCCGGTGCCGTCCCTAATCGAATCTACCCGGCCCGGTCTATTAAAGCTTGCATATATATACGTCTCTTTTAGCCGCCTGCTACTCTTGTTAGGGTTTTGTTCACTCTCTGTGCTTGTTGCGGTAATCCGTAGAAACCTGTTAGAGCGTTTCTTGGAATCATCCAATCATGAGGTATGTGTTCATCTCAGCCTTTTATTTTGTTTACTGTTTCTGTTTGTTAATCTAATCATAATTAGAAATCTGTGTTGGTTTTGGATATTGTTTTTCTATTTGTGATAATGACTAAAAGATATAATCCGTTTACAAAAAATAATTATTTTGAAAATTCTCAGATTAAAACATGAGATTTATGATGATAAAAGTATCCGATTGAAAATGTTTGTTCTTTAGTGTCCAAATGCAAATTAGTTGCTGTTATTTAGGCCAATTGTAGATTATTGGTTCTCCATATTGTGTATTGCTATATTTTCAAATGGGTATAATGATGGAAATGTATGTTTAGTTGTAGAATGATCTATGGTGTATAATGGGTTTTGGAGGAAAAGAAATGGTGGTTTTGCATTTTCTAGTTTTTGAGTATTTGGTTCATTTTCTGTTTTCTGCTCTGAATATTGGAGTGTTTCCTCATTGCAGTAAGCTTCAGAGTGAGACATTGAGAGAGGCTATCTCTACTATTATGGCTGCTTCTGTGGAGAAGAAGCGTAACTTCACTGAGACAATTGAGCTCCAGATTGGACTGAAGAACTATGATCCTCAAAAGGATAAGCGTTTCAGTGGCTCTGTGAAGTTGCCTCACATCCCCTCCCCTCGCCCTCAATGGCATTTGCATGCTGGAGATGCTCGATGGTTCGGGAGGTATTATGGCTATGTCCTTTTGACTTCGTTGCTCTGTGTTGTTTGTTTTTTGACAAATGGTCTTTCTTGCGTAGTGGATTCTCAGTCACATAGGGTTGGGAACTTGGCTTATGTTTGTTTTTTTAATCCTGGGCAAATGCATTTCCTCCTGTTTCACCATTGGGGCTTAGTAGAGCTTTTGGTTTGACCCTTTCACCATTGGGGCTTAGTAGAATGCTTTGTTTGACATAGAATTTGGTGTGGCGCTTTGTTTTTGTGAAAGCAGTAGTTGGTGAGCACAATAGATCTCAACACACTGAAATAGGATATTTGGCATTAGCATTAGGCTTTTGGTTTAGCTTCATTCAGTACTCTGATATTGCTGTGTTGTGTTTTACCATTGTGGTAGTTTTGAATTCATATTTGATGATTCTTTGCATATTATCGAATGTGTTTTTATTCAGATTTCAATACTGTCCTGCAACTTCATTCAGTGCTTACTTTCACCTTTTCAAGTCAATGACCATATTTGCATAGATTGCTATGCTATTGTTGTGGGATAGTATGCTGGCACAGTTTTCCAATTTATCTCAACAGTACTGTTATTGTAATAATGCAAGAAAATATATTTTATTACATGTTGCATGCATGTGTTAGCTTTACCTCGGTAAAGAATCGAGTTTTCTTCTTCCTCTTTAGATGTCTTGACCACAATGTTTCCTTGGTCTATACTTTTTGTATTGATGTCTCTCTTTTTTCTGTAGTCTAGTACGGGAATGCCATTGGGTTGTAAAAATAGATGTATAAGCCTTTTTAATTGAGTGTGATTGGTTAATTTTTGTGTGGGCAGGCTGAGGCAATAGGACTACAATGGATGGATGTGGAAGCATTGAAGAAGCTAAACAAGAACAAAAAATTGGTTAAGAAACTTGCCAAGCAGTACCATGCCTTCTTGGCTTCAGAATCTGTCATCAAGCAGATTCCTCGTCTTCTGGGCCCTGGTCTGAACAAGGCAGGCAAGTTCCTTAGGAGTAGATCATGTTTGTTTTTTGCTGCTGCGGTAATTCTGGAATATTCAAATAGCTGTGTTTTTATTATATTTCCTACCCTTGTGACCCATTGCAGGTAAATTTCCTACCCTTGTGACCCATCAGGAGTCCCTAGAGTCTAAAGTGAATGAAACAAAGGCAACAGTGAAATTCCAATTAAAGAAAGTGCTCTGCATGGGAGTTGCTGTTGGCAACTGTGCTATGGAGGAGAAGCAAGTCTTCCAAAATGTGCAAATGAGCGTCAATTTTCTTGTTTCCTTGTTGAAGAAGAACTGGCAAAATGTGAGAACTAATAATTCTCTTAGCTTTTGCTTTGCAGGCTAAGTTACAGTAACTTGATCCATATTGATTCTTAGTTTTCTGGTCAGGGATTCTTTGTTATGTCTCCGTTTTTGTTTTAAATTTACATAGTTCAAAGTCTGATTTTGTCCCTTTTTGTTTTAAATTTTGTTTTAACTAAATTTTATTTTAACTAATCAGGTGAAGTGCCTAAACGTCAAGACTACAATGGGTAACCCAGTTCGCATCTTTTAAGGAGCAGCTTATTTGGAGTTTTGAGATTTTTACGAGATGTAGCATTCCAGTTACCTGTAGAAGTGTCTTACTTTAAAGATCACATTTTCTTCTTGGATTGTTGTTATTTTTGTTTTGTTGGAATTGCTAGTAAAATTGAAATGCTTGATTATAGTTTTTTATTAGAGAGATGAGAACTTCGTTTCCTGTGCTTGCAGTAGATTTTTAATGCTATCAGTTATGTCATTATGTGATGATCTCAACTGTTCATATATACCTGGGTAGTGTTATCTTTAATGTTATGGTTAAACTGTTATGAAGGCTGAAGTAAACGTTATGAAGTCCTCAATCTGCTAACAGAGCATTGTTGGCTGAAGCATCTGCTATCTAATTCAAGTTTATATGCCTAAAAATATGATTGAATAATATCGAAAATTATAAATAAATAAACTCATTAACGATTTCTTTATAACGTTTTGGTAATCAAATTAGTAAGAGAGGAGTTAGATTTATATCCATATGACAGGTGGAAATCAAACTTAATTGATCTTATTAGCAATGAATTGAAAATGAAAATCAATGTTTAAATCCAAAATTCCGATTTTAAATTTATTCTAAATAATTTAGAAGAAAGTATTGATTTTATAAACAATTGTACTTCAAAAGAAAAATGCATATACTGATTTGGTGTTTTTAAAGAAATTACAAAAATGTGAAGAAAAGAGAGCAATAATTTCTGTTCCAAGAACAAATAAAGAAAGAAATTTATATTCCAATTCCTAATTTGAGAGCAAACCAAAAGTGAGACAGAGAAATGAAATCTAAAATTCTTTAACTACATATACTTTCTGTGAGTTATCCAAAAAGAACTTTCTTCCCCTTCTGTAAACTTGCCAAAATTTTCTCGATATAAAATTTCTACAGAAACTAGAATTATAAAATCAAAAGATGCTCAACGACCTGTCATCAAAGATTCTGCTGTTCAATCAATAAAAGAAAAAGAAAAGATTCTACTTTTGAAATCTTGGTTAATAGTTCTGCTTCTGCAAATTAAGGCTTCTTGATATTTGGAGCAGCAGCAGAGTCTTCATTTTGGTTTTCAACACTTGTTCTTTAGCATTGTTCTGTTCTTGAGGCCCCAGACCCGCCTGTGTTCCTTGGTGTTGTGTCTTGACCCGTAAATGGTTCAAATAAGATCTTCTCTATATCCATTAAAGCCTGGTTATTGTTCAGGGCTTGAGCATCATTGTCATCCTCTTTCATAAGAGCTTCTTCCATAGCAGTAAGAGCTTCTTTTTGCATCGCTGAAACAAAACCGGCAGAACCATCATTTTGTGCGGCAACTTCAAATTCTTGGTTTCCAACTCCATGAATCGATTTATTATTTTGACCGGTAACACATTGCATATTTTGTTGATTCTCCATTGTTCTTCTTTAATTTCTTGGAAAATTTTCTTGCGTTCTCGAAATTTTCTTTGCGTTTCTTGAAGAGTATGTGGGTTTGAGAAGGAGAGGGAGAGAGAGAGCGAGAGAGCGCAAGCGGGAGAGAGCTTGGGTTTCGTTTTTTGATTTCAGGTTGGTTATAACTATATAAGAGGTTTACTGATGGTATATATATAACTATATAAAGAGGTTTACTGATGTTATAATATATATATATATTATATATATATATAAAACAATTATTATAATATTAGTTAAACATATGTTAGAGAGTAAACGCGCTACAATATGTTTGTAACTAAATGAGAAATAAGGAATTAAAAAAAATTTTGTAAGATTTTTTTTTTTTTTTTGTTTTTGGAGAAAAATAGATTTTTTTTTTTTTTTTGTTTTTGGAGAAAATATAAACGTAAAATGGTGGAATTAGTAAAAATTATCTAGTTATTGTTTTAACCTTATCACATGTTGCACTTATAATTCTATTTATTTATCTTTATACATGTTATTTATTTTTATACATGTACTATATATAACTCATGGCATATTGCCATCATCAACATAATACACTATTCATCAAACTCTACATGGTATCAAAGTTTTAATGATCGTCGCTACTATTTTAAATCTCTCTCAAAATATCTCTGTTACTTCTCACTGTTCATTGTCCATCAAGCTCTCAAGCAAAAACTATTTTGTTTGAAAAACACGATTCCTACCTCTTCTTAATTATCAAAACCTAACTAGTTTTATTGATAGTTCACATAAAAAACATTACATGATTCCACCAAAACTACAAAAACTATGCCTAATCCTGATTATCTATCCTAATTTCAGAAAGACCAAATACTTCTTTGTTGGCTCCTCTCCTCCCTATCTGAGGAGGTTTTTCCTTGTGTTACCGGCGTGACATCCTCTTGTCAAGTTTGGTATGCTCTTGCTAATACCTTTGGCTCCATATCCCACAATAAGGAACTTCAACTCAATATTCAATTGCAAGAATTGAAAAAGAATGATCTTTCAGTCTCGCAATACTTACAACTTGCCAAATTCCATGCCACTGCTGAATTCAATGTTATTGTGTATCAAAACATAGGAAGTGAGGATCACAATATTATTCCTACACTCAACTTACACCATGCTAGTTTCTTTCAATGAATTACATAGCCACCTCCTTGCTCATGAAATTCTACTCATTAGTTATGATTCCTGATTAGTTATTTATAATCTATCTATAATCTATTATAATTATATATAGACATCACTACCAGTTCAATTTTGAGTTGCAGATCAGATTTTATTAAATAAAAAATAATCGAAACCCTAACGAATTCTAAAAATTGAAACTAAAAACATTTGTTAAAGAATGGATTAAGATTTATGTTTTTATATGTATACATAAATAAAAAAACTAGAATTGGCCTATGGTAGCTGAACCAACATGACTGTTTATTTTAGATAAGTTGAAAGTTCAGAGGACAAAAAGACCTAAACTACAAATGTTTAATCTTTAAAATCAAGGTCTTATACAATATTTTCTTGTCTTTAAACCTAAGCTACATACCATTTATGTAATTAATATGGTAGAGTGCAATTCTTTAACTATATAAGAATTTCAAACTAAGTTTGTTTTTATTTTTTATTTAATTAATGACCAACAATATTATTTTAACTCAAATAAGTACAAGAGTTTATATAGGATTGAGATTTTTATTTTGTTTGTTTTTGTTGAAATTGTGTAAGAGGATTTTAAGAGAGCTTTTTTTGTCGATATGCATTAGAGACTTGTATTTAAGATGTCAAATTTATGCTAGCTCCTAGTTTATGTTTGTTTTTATTTTCTCAATTAAACTAGATTTTCTTTTAGCGTGTATTTAGCTTCTCTAATGGTGTGCCTTTGATGTTTATTTATTTATTTTTATAATTATAGATAGTAAAAATTTATTTATTTTTATAATTGTAGATAGGAAATGATTCCCTAGCTTAATGGAAGGGGTGATACTTTGGAGACTCTAAGGTCCAATTCGATTCCTATGTATGTAAACATGTAATAATTGTAATATGTATATAATGCTTAAATTTTCAGGATAATAGTCTTTATCAAATATTTTGGTGAGAGCGCTGGTTATTGAAGGCTCACTGATATTGAAAAGGGGACAAAATTTTAAGTCAACTACAGTAATTTATTACTATGATAATAAAGAATAAATATTTTAAAAAAATCCTAATATTAAATAAAAAGTAAACGAGAAATATTGTAAATTTAGGTGTTTTTGAAATGTTCAAAATTAATAAAACTAAAAAAAGTAGCACACATTTATTGGAGTATATATTGTATTTATATCAAGGAGCATTCAAGAGGTATCGACCTCAATCTATCAAATAAAAACCAATCCATTTATAAATTAAATAGGTAAGAATATCTATTGATCTGACTTGAGTCAACTTGAATTTGATCCGATTAATTTTTTTCTCTTGCCATCCAATTCGGTGATGCATCGAGATTTCTTTTTAGTAAAATTTTATGCACATTAACCAAATATAACTCGACTTAAATCTACAGGTACCCAATGTATGTTACTTTTTGTTGCTAGATCGAATATAGATATTGCAAAATCCAGTTCAAACTCAATCCACGATCATCTGTGTGCTTCTTAACTTGGTATTAGAAAAAAGATATTTTCAATGATCAACTTTTTTTTATAGTAAAATTTACTTAAATAAAAAGTATTGTTAATTATTTTATATATTTATTAATTTTTTTTTCCGTCAAGCGGGTATTTGATTTTTTTTTTTTTTTTTAGCGGGTATTTGATTTTTTTTTTTTTTTTTTACTTAATTTTTTTTTTTTTTTTACTTATACGAGGAGTAACAAGTCTAATTTTGTAACTAAGGGTAGTCTTTTCATTTTTATTTTAAAGGAAATTATTAAAGATAATTTAAGAAGTGAGAATAAATAAATTTTAATTATGAAATTACACTAAACATCAACCATATAGAATTCTATTCAACTCTATATTTTAAACTAGTCGTAACTCCGCGCTTCGCACGCGGATGCTTAAATATTATTTAAATAATAATTATTATTAAATTCCATTTTAAAAAGCTTGTGATGTTTATAATGATATTAAGAGTAAAAGTCTGATGGTTTTTGACATTCAACAATTGATATTTATGTATATTTCTATACTTATTTTCTAATTCTACACTGTTAGAGATTATTTCAGTAGTCAAACTTTTTTAGTTATGATACGAGTAACTGATGTATATACTCATTTTTTTATTTATAAATCAATCCGAAAACCTCAAACATTATTGGAACTCAAAGATAAAATTAATTGAAATTAGAACAAAATTCCATTTAATTATTAATTTAAATTTGAACATATATGCATACACAAGTAATATCATTTTAAATATGAATCAAATAAAATTTTAATAATAACTATATATAATAATATTAATTTAATTATAATTATACTAATTTGCTATTATTATTGGATAAAAATGGTGAAACAATAAGATACTTTAAATTTGTTCTCAAATATAGATTAGTTTTAAGTGATTAATGTAAGAAAGAGATGTAAAAATAATAATAATAATTAATTAAGTCATTTTAAAAAAGTAATTATTAATTAAGTAGTAAATTTGAAAGTAAATACAAATCCATTATTAATTGCAATTATAAATACTATGGAACAACTATACAAATCCATTATTTCTAGTTCGACCTACTCAACTGAATCATATATTTCTCTCTATAAATTCCTATTAGCTCATGAGTTACATATGTAATATGATCTACATAGCTAAACATGTCTTTCAAATTTAAGTAAAATGGAGATCTTGTAGAATGACTATATGATATAAAATCTAATTATAGGAGAAGTTATGAGAGAGTATAATTCATTCACGGCTCTCCATCTTTGTCAAAGTTGCATGCCAATTTTTGAATTGTTTTGCTATCAACCTTTTGAACAACAAAAAAAACGTGCCCTTTTTCCTTTTTTTTTTCTTTGTTCAAATCAAATTTGTGTGGGTCCCACATGTCGGAGGGATCCCACAACACTATCCACTTGATCAGATAAGGGAAATTGAGGGTAATGAACTGAATAGTCAACATGAGAAGGGGAAATTGGAACATGGAAGTGAGTCACTCAGTGGGTTGGTATGTGCCCCTGCTCTGTAGAAGCGTTTCCTTGGCAGGCCAGTTGACTGCTGAGAGTTGTGCTTACCTATTATTCCGTATATTTCTTTTAACATTAATTTATTTTTACAAATTAAATTATCAAATTTAAATTTAAATATACAAATAAATATAAGGATAGCTTTTAATCTTAATAGATGTACAATGTAGGGGGCAACATGGAGTCTCTAATTTATAGTACCTTTAACTCATCCCTGATGTTGGGTCTATTATTTCCATAGGTTCCCTCTCGCCATAAAAAGTGATTCAAAAAAAAAAAAAAAAAAAAAAAAAAAAAAAAAAAAAAAAAAAGAAAACATACAAATTTATGTGTTGATAGGGAAATTCCGTATGCTCACAAATATATGGATTTGTCTTTTTTTTTTTTTTCAAAATAATTAAATAAATCTATATATAAGTGAGAGCGTATTGAACTTGAACCATATAATAATTGACCTATTTTAGAATGTAAGTGTGCAAGATAGAAATTAATTCTTCATTTCCAAGAGTGCAAAGATACTATAAATTCGATTTTATACAAAAATAAGTTTATCAAACACTAATGCGTAATAATCAGTGAGTGTTATCAAATATTTTGAGTTGTTTCTTTCTTTTTTTTTTTTTTTTTTTTTTTTTCTTTTCCGAAAAATGTTGGCAGGTTTCTTCTTAAGGTTTAAAAAGTTTTTGATTTCAACCTTAATTGTATGTTCAATTTAGAAAATAATTTAATTTTTTAATTCTTATTATATATATATATATTAAGTGGACAGCAGAGATTAATTGAAAATTAAGGTTATTTGCTCTCATTTTGCCTCCTTTACTTCTCTTATGCCTTTTTTTTTTTTTTTTTTTTTTTTTTTTTTTTTTTTTTTTTTTTTTATTTATTTATATTTGTTCAAAGTTTATTTCTTTGGTATCACCTCTCAGCCTGATATTTTTTTACCAAATACAGGCGCAAATGCTATTTCAAGTATCCTTTTGCAATAGAATTTAAAATAGTACATTTTTAGAAAAACAGTTCCAAGCTTAGTACCGAGAAATTAATAGACTAAGATAATTAACATACAAATATTGAGATCAATAATAACTTAAAAATTTTTGTTGATAGAAGAATGTGACGTGAATGAATTTGAAGATATTCTTCTTAAAGTTACATAACTATCTCTAGATGCTACAGGCACAGGAGGAACATAAGGAGTTTTTCCTCCAACTTTAAGCCACTCTTTATAGTACAGAGCAAACCGAATAGTTCCTATATCCATATGGCTATTATAGGCATTCCTCAGAGCTTTCACTCTCTTTTCCTTATCAACCAGTTGATAAAGAGAATAGGACTTCAAGTTCCTTGTTATACCAAATCTTAAGATGAAGGAGAAGAGAAAAAATAAATTCTTTGCTTCATTGAAAATAACCATTATCTTCAAATGGGTATAAAAAGGAAATTAGAATTAACGAAGAAAATATATCACGGCAAGCTTTGCAAGGAAAGAATATATACTTGTTGTTGAATAAACTCAAAATTCAAAAGCTTGTGTGATCTCAAGGAGAAAGCTAACAAATTCAGGTGCACTTAATGACAAAAAAAAAAAAAAAAAAAAAAAAAAAAAAAAAAAAAAAAAAAAAAAAAAAAAATACAAGTATGCAACAAAAAAACTTAGCAACTGTGAAAACAGGAACTTATTTTTGTACCTAATAACAAATAAGAAAAAATACCTGATAGATTGTCATTAAATAAAACCCCAAAGTTAGGAAGCTTGTATTGATCTTAAGGAGAAAGCTAACAAAATTCAGGTGTACTTAAGGAAAAAAAAAAAAAAAAAAAAAACAATTATACAACAAAGCTTCGTTAGATGAAAACCATCAGATCTAACCAAAGGGAAAAAAAAAAAAAAAAAACAATTATACAACAAAAGCTTCGTGATGAAAACCATCAGATCTAACAAATTAAGAGGAAAAAAAAAATGAAAACTAAGATAAAAATAATTCTTAGGGGAGATTTTCTTTAGGCATGTACTTATCACTTGGCATTGGAACATGTCCATAACTTTTGAGAACAATATCAAAGTAAAATAAAATAAAAAGACACTTTTTATGATTAGAAAGATTTAAATCCAAATTCAAGTCAAGCTAATTAAAAAAAAATATGTCCTGTCAATTTTTTTTTTTGATAGTAAATATGTCCTGTCATTAACTGTTTGCGTTACCTAGCTTCAAATACCTGGATGATTTAATAGGTGATGCTGACTTGCACTTTGATACATCTCCTCCATTTATTGTAGCTCCAAAAGAACCAAATCTACAAGCGCAAGTTGAAAAAAAAAAAAAGAGAACTTTGAACTCCATGAACTCAAAGGACTTAATTTATACCTGATAACAAATGAGAAAATATCTGATACGTGTCATTGAATAAACTCAAACTTCAGAAGCTTGTCTGATCTCAAGGAGAAAGCTAACAAATTCAGGTGCACTTAATGAAAAAAAAAAAAAATTACAAGAAAAAATTAATGATAAAAACCAACAGATCTAACAAATTAATAGGGAAAAAAAAGATGAAAACTTTTAACTCCATGAACTTAAAGGAACTTAATTTATACATGATATCAAATGAGAAAATACCTGATATGAGTGTCACCAGACAGAAGCAGAGTGGATGGGTGATAATGAAAATTAATGATTATAATTTCAGAATATAAGTATAGGACACAAAATTAGAAACAACTTACAAACTAAAACTACATTGAGAACCAGACATTATTCTAATCTAGTTCTGAAGCTTACCATCAAATTAGACGGTTCTTTTGAAAAAATAATAATAAACTATTGCACGTATAGCTTGAGGCGTGTTTAAAGAACACTGGCCTTTAGGATAATTCACCCACTGCGGATGTATCCCCCAAGATTCAACAAGCTCTTCTATAAAATAAGTAGGAAGTAGGAGCAATAGAAACTAATAGAACCCAGCAAAGAAGAAGAAGAAGAAGAAGAAGAAGAAGAAAAGAGCAAATGTTTTTCGCATTTTCTAAGGTTGTGCAGTGAAGTATTTATAGCAAAATATCAAACCATTAGTAAGAAAGTAATGAGGCTAAAAATCGGGAGCAGTAATGTAATGTTTGAGAAAAGTCAGGAAAAAAGAAAAACATTAAAATAATAATGTTGAGAAAATCAGGGAAAATCAAAATAAAGCTTTTAACGAGTCAAATAGGATTAGCATAGATAAGCTGTAAATGTAATTTAATTTCGCAAAAAAAATTAAGATGCAAAAGAACTGGGCCTCACATTTATCTTGTGAGTAGGGAGCATCTACTTAACTCAGGCTTTTGGCATGACTCTAGTGCATGCAAGCCCATACCTCTACTTTGCTCTTTACTAACCCAATAAAGAGAGTTCTATTATAAAACCAAGAAAGAAGCTTCACTTTACTGATGTGTGACAATGTCTCTTTTTAAAATACACTACAACAATCCCCTAGATATTTCAAAAAGATGACTCAAGGATATTCGCTTCTTTTGCTCACATTTGGGTATAATGCATCAATTCTGGTGTATTTAATACTATGAACTAGAACTAGAAAAAATGAGACATGACCTACAAAATATTTGGTGAAACTTTAGGTTTCTTTGAACCGTGTATTCATTTTGTAGATCAAAGAATTCTCATTAATCATATCATACCTCCTAAAATTTTGTAGTTCAATGTAGTTGTGCGCCAATAAGCTATGTACAAGCTTGGTTATTCATGAGTACTCTAGAGATTTTACCATCAATCTCATAGGAGCGGCTACACTCCACAATCAAATAGGTCATTCCATCAAGTGTACACTACATATAATACAACACCTATAAAGGACATGGAATAAGATTAAGAGTTTTACTCACCCTTACTCTTTATTGCAATTTTGCACTATCTACACCATAGGAGGGACATAAATTGGTAGTGCTAAAAAAATCAACTAACAACTTGTTATTCATATGAACCTAAGTCATGGGATCGCCAATCACATAGGTTGGGTTATCATCCTCATTGATTTCTCAAATTGGCTGTAGTCCCATTCCCCTCGATGTTTCATTTATTAATTTCCTTCCTAATGGTTTTGTCAGAGGATAGGCCAAATTCACTTTTGAATTCACATAATCAATTGATATAATTCCATCTCTTTACAGCTACTTGACCACATCATATCTTAAACGAAGTTGTCTATTCTTGCCATTAAAAGTCTTATTCTTTGCAATTGCTATTACCACTTGATAATGACAATGCATAGACACAAAAGGTGTTGGTTTTATTCCCAACGGAATATTTTCCAAGAAGTTTTTCAACCACTCAACCTCATTGCCAGCCAACTCCAGAGCAATAAACTTTGACTCCATGGTGGATTTGACAATAATCATTTGTTTGGCTGATTTCCAAGAAACTGCGCCACCATCTAGGGTTAATATATAACCACTAGTGGATTTTGTCTCATCTCAATCTAAGATCCAGTTAGCATCACTGTATCCTTCTAATACAGTGGGAGATCCGCTATATAGAATACTATAGTTCATAGTACCCTTCAAGTACTTCATTATCCTGACCAAAGTAGTCCAATGATCATTATTTGGATTGTGTGTATATCTGCTCAATCTATATACAGCACATGCTATGTCAGGTCAAGAAAAATTCATTAAGTGCATCAGGCTTCTAATAATCCGTGCATAATTAGATTGAGCAACAGTTCGCCTCTGTTTTTCTTTAATTAAGAGTTTGCATCATAAGGAGAACTTACTGGTGTAACATCATAATGTCCAAACTTCCTAAGAAGTTTCTCAACAACATGCTCTTGTGATAACAAAAAACTATCACCTTTCCTTATGATTTTAACTCCCAAAATTAGACATGCTTCCCCCATATCTTTCATATCAAACTTCAAAGCAAGAAAACTTTTTGTTTTATGTACTAATTCAAGACTAGTACTAAAAATAAGCATATCATCCACATATAAGCATATCATCACACAATCACTTCCACTACAAAAAAATCGCCAATTTACGACCGATTATTGCGACCAACTCAATTCTGTTGCAATTTAAGACTAGTACTAAAAATAAGCATATCATCCACATATAAGCATATCATCACACAATCACTTCCACTACAAAAAAATCGCCAATTTACGACCGATTATTGCGACCAACTCAATTCTGTTGCAATTTTGTGACCGATTTGCGACCTATGGACAAACAGTCGCTAATTGTAGAGCTAAAAATTCCCGCGAGTTTGTTTTTCAGTTTACGACTAGTATACGATAGATTTGCGATCGATTTTACGACTAATCTACGAGTACATGTTATTTCGTCGCAAAATTGCGCGCTTCAAAATAAGGAATAAATTCTGAGACCGATTTGCGACCGATTATGTGTGACCGTTTTACTGCGGCTCAGCAGCTCACGCTTCTGCAGCCAGCGCAGGACCACATCCCGAGCACAGTGCCGAGGAGTTCACTGCATTATGGGCTCGTGTTGATGATCAGTGGAGACAAATTGCTGAACTTAGAGAGCATGTCATGCGGCTGTCTGGTCAGCCCAGTGCTGGTACTTCTTCCTCTGATCCTGCGCCTGCTACAGATCGAAATGTTTCGACATCTCAGCAGCAGCCACTACAGTCTCCTGATCCCGATGCTGCAGACGATACCTTGGTCACCCATCCCGGCACTACAGCACATCCAACAGGTACTCCTCCCAGCGATTCGACATTGGATCATGAAGCTGAGCAACCGTGTAGATTTGATTTTGGACCTTTTTAGTTTTCTGGTTGTTTTTTGACATTTTGTTCAGTACAATAACAATTACATTTTTATATTGTTTTTGAATTGCGTTTGTGAGATATATATATATATATGCCAATTTTCAAAGGTGCAAAAAAATTATGGTTTTATGATAATGTTTATTATTATTATTATTTTTTTTAATTTTGCGACAGATTTGCGACCGATTTGCAACCAAAAATAAAAACTTTAAATTTACAATTTGCAACCGAATTTCATTTTTGCGACACTCGTTTTCTGCAACCAATTTGCGACAGCATTTATAAAGGAAAACATGACCAAATTTTGCGACCGACGAAGAAATCGGTCGCAAAATATTTTGCGACGAGCATTTTTGTGACCGATGTTGGTCGGTCGCAGATCAGTCGCTAATGGAATTTAGAGACCGATTTGTTGCGTTTTGTCGGTCGCAAAATGCCGTTTTTTTTGTATTGTTCCAACTAATTTTGTATAAACACATTTATCCACTTCAATTGAAGTGAAACCATTTCCAATTAAAACTTGATCAAACTTCTCATGCTACTGTTTAGGAGCTTACTTTAAGCCATAAAGAGATTTTAGAAGTTTACAAACTTTATTTTCTTGGCCAGAAATCTCACAACCCTCAAGTTGTTCCATATAAATTTCTTCTTCTAAATCACCATTTAGAATGGCTATTTTCGCATCCATTTGATGGATTAAAAATTTTTTAAATTGAAGCTAGAGTTATCAAAATTCGAATTGACGAAATTCTATTAACAGGAGCAAAAGTGTCAAAACAATCTATGTTTTGTTTTTGAGAAAAACCCTTTGCAATAAGTCTGGCATTAAATTTGTCTATAGAACCATCATGATTAAATTTCTTTTTAAAAATCCATTTACAACCAATTGGTTTTGCTCGTAAGGGTAAATCAACTAATTTCCAAGTTTTATTTTGTATAATAGAGTCAAGCTCTACTTTAATAGCTTCCTTCTAGAAAGGAGCATCAGATGAAGAAATTGCTTCTGAATGACTTAAAGGATCATTATCTATGAGATAAATGTAAAAATCATTTCCAAAAGAATTTTCTTTTCTTAGCCTTTTACTTCTTCTCAAAAGCTCATTCTCATATTCATGAGTGTTTTGAATAGTAGGTGCGTGAGAAATACGATCAAATTTTAAAGGAAAAATATGCTAAAAAAATTCTGCTTTTTTTTTTTTTTTTTTTTTTTTTTTGTCTTAAAGTATAGTACCACTATTCAAGCACATCAATTTTTAAAACAAAAATCTGTAAGTAGTACTATGATCAACATGCCCAATAAACATGCAATTAAGGTTTTAGAAACCTATTTTCTTTTCTTAGTTCAGGCAGCATATACTTTAGCTAAGCACTTCCACACTTTTCAAATATTTCAGGTTAGGAAGATAATCCTTTCCATATGTTCATAAGGTGTCTCATTAAATTTCTTATAAAGGTAATTCTATTTTGTAAATGAATGCAGATGAAGGTAGCTTCCTCCTAAAGATTTTTTTAGTGCATTTGGAAATTTAATAAGCATGCAATTCATCATTTACACTTTAATGTTCTATTTTTTCTTTCAGCTACAACCGTTTGATTGAGGTGAGTACGGAGGAGTAGTCTTATTGAATTATTCCTTCCCTTTTCATAAAAGCATTCAGAAGAATACCAAATTCACCGCCATCTAATCTTTTAATCTTCCTATTAAGTTGAATTTTCCGACTTCAGCTTTATATTAAGAAACATATGAAAAAGCTTCAATCTTTATATTAAGACAATATGAAAAGCTTCATCTTTATTTCCTAAGCAATAAACTTAGTATATCTTAAAAAAAATTATCTAATTAAAAGGTGATGTAGAATCTTTTGCCAACCTCTAGTCATTGTTTGTTTTAAATCTCCTAAAATCAATATGAATAAGCTTATAATTCTCCATTCTCTAAAAATTGAAAGTACATGATTTTTTGGGTTTGCTTTGGATTTTTGTACAATTTCAACACTTATTTAAAATAAGAAGTACTAAAGCTCGAAATTTTAAACTTAGTTTTTTGCATTAATTTGAATATAAGAAAAATTCAAATGCCCTAGCCTAGCATGCCACAAATCCCATAGAATCAATCAAAGTAAGAGAAAGAAGTGGCAATTTCATTGATTTCCGAAAAAACATTTGGGCACAAAATAAACTATTATTACAATACCCCTTTCCACAAAAAGT